GTGTAGTTACCAAGCATTGGGCTCCATCCAGAGGAAAGCTTCTGCTGAAGAGAGGCAACATGTTATTCCAACCTGGTAGCAGATCATTAAAAGGCTGTTTTGCACATTAACCGCTAATTCTCCTTGCAGCATGCAAAGAGAAACAGAAAACTCAGAAAGACCAATTAGGGATCCATGGGAACCTAATGATGTGCTCATTCAGGACTGCACTTAGTGCACAAACCAATTCATGGCCATGCAGAGACACTACTCACTGTGAATGAAAAGTTTACAGTTGCAAAACAGTCTTCAAATGCACTCTGAGATAGATTGCTAATTCCTCTCTTTATCATCTCAGCTGATTAAAACAGAAAAACAACCCTTGAGTAATATCAGTTACATAAAGCCATTGGTGATCATGCTGGCATCATGAGAAGGGCATGAAGCTCCCTCAACATGCCCCACTACCAAGACTTCCTGTGGAAGAAATGGGGAGAAACCAAAGTACCCTCTAAGATGCTATTCCAGTTTCTACCCGCTAATCATTTACACATGCAGGAAAAGAGCAGGCCAGGAGAAGTCATGGACTCCAACATCAGTACCTTCCTGGAAGATGCTGTGCAGAATCAGGAAGATTAGATGCCCTGAGCTGCAGTCCTAGCAGTTTTATTCATTCTTTGCTGCTTTGATAAATCATTTATTAGAACAGCCTGGGGGAAAAAAAAAAAAAAGAAAAGAAAAAAAAAGAAAAAAAAACAACATCCCCCCCATAAAATAGATTTATCACAAAATCCTGTCCTCCTACCAACCATCTTCAGACCAGAATATATATTTCTCTGATTATTAATTAACTGATGCACAGAAACAGCTTCAAGCTTTTTAACCTCTCCCTTCTCTTTTGTCCTTCAAGAATGTAGATGACAATGCAGGAGTTGTGTTCAAAACACAGATAGCTTCTTGAGCAGCTGTAGTATTATCATCATGCTTTAAGACCTATAGGCATGGGCTCAAGCATTAAAGCCATTCAGAAAGCAAGTATTTAAGCTATTTTCCCAGTACGTACATCCTGTTCCTAGTCATACATGTTTAAATCTGACATAGCACCATTAACGCTGTTGACATTGATGTGGAGAAACAAAGATGGTTAACTGCCAATAGTGCACGTAACAACAAAAACAACAGTCATATAATCTACCAGTAGATACTTGATCTGAAAAGAGAAAGGAATATGATATTGTTAGCACAGCTTGTCTGTCTGTCTGTCTGCCTATCCCTTGTCACTGTGACCTCTCAACCCTCAAGATAAGCCATAGCTTTTCTTCTTTTTGGAGTCCATACAAATACCTTCAGCAGTATGAAACACAACTCCATGTAAATAACAGGAAGGGGGAGAGCCAAATGCACCAACAACTTCTGAGCATATCAAGACCCCTGAAACCAAAATGGTCAAATGAAGCTAGAGGAATTAGCTGCTCTGTCCCTAGGACGTGTTCACAAGGAAAATGCACAATTACTGGTATTTGCCCTGCTCCTTCTCTCTCCCCAGCCCTCTCACCCCAGCCCCTCCACCCTTAGCAGCTAGCCAGTGGAGATTTTTATATTACAGCAGTGGGATAGCAGGACAAATAAGGAGAAAAAATATACAATCCAAATCTGGTCCAAATCTGTAGGCAACTAATACCAATAGCATCAGAGTACAACTCCCAGCTTCATTATCTGGTCTAAATGAAATATAGTGAGCAAATGCACTTCTGATCTTTCTTACTAGTCCCATTTGTTAAAATGCTGTATTATTTACAGCTTTGCACAGAATGAGGAAATGGCCTTAGAATTCCATCTCAAAAGCAAAGTGATGATAAAAACTAGTGTAGCTTTGTGAGCTTATCTAAAGGCAAGGTTCTTGCAGAGGTACAACTGTATCAGCATCCCAGCACCAGGGCTTATCACCCAACTAAAGGTCTAGTCTTGGCAAAAGTAGACAAATAGTAGACTTCCATCATATTTGACAGCATTTCTGGTGGGATTGGCATGCCTTAGGAGTTTGATTCAGCAATTAACATCACTTTGGGGAGTGGCTCACCCAGGCACTAGCCAGTAACTAGCCAGTTAACAACATCTTACCTTGAGATGTCAGTCCCAGCTGTGGAACCAGGTAAATCCCACAATAGAGGTACCTTGATTTAAGCTAGGTGCTTGCCTTCATCGCAGTTAGCACTGGTCCCTGCTACACAGCCAGTGGGATTTGTTTCATTTGAGCACAGCTAGGATTGTCCTGAAAAAAGAAAGAAATCATGTCCTACACTCCACTGATTATATTGGCTAGACCTCCACTGGTTATTTTAGGATCCTAAGGTGATTTGCTCACAAATGGATGCACATGTAGACACACTCGAGATGTGCACGTTGAGTCAGTAAGAGGTACATTGCAACAGGATCAATTACAAGAGTAAAAATCAAAGTTCACAGGCAAGCTAGGTTCTCTAAAGACATGATATAAGCAATTATCCAGCTGCAGCCAACTCAGCTTTGATATTTAGTAGCTGCTTATATACTAGTAAAGTAAACATACTTGGCACTTTGCTCTAGCACTGGGGCCAGCTGGCACAGAATGGTCCACACCCAAACTATTAAATTCTCTTACTTTCTAGAATATCACGGCCATATCCAAGCTAACTACTGAAAACAGCCTCTGTTCTGTGCTAATACTCAGACTTTGTCCAGGAATTGTTTGGAATTAAGCACAAGCCAAAACTATGTCAAGGACCTTTCTAAAAATTCAGTAGTACAGGTGATTGGGTTCCAGTTTCTCTGAACTTCCCTGGCACAGTTTTAGCTTACTGTTATAGATGCAGCTGATGGGTCTTGGACAGAAGTATTAGCAATCCAGAGGTGATTTTAAAAAGAACTGGTTTTCACTACATCCTGTATTCAAAGATGTGAGGTAGCTAGACAGCAAATTTCAAGTTGAAACATAAGTAAAGCATTTCCAAGGGACCTTCCAGCAGTATTTAAAGACTGAATCAACTCAGGTGAAATCAGGAGGTGTTTCATATGTTCCTTTGCTGAGATCAAATCATAGGACCTTGTTGACTGATAGATTATTCAACTAGTCAAATGTAAACTGGGAACATTACCAGGTGCTTACTGGCTAATAAGTGATTGCAAAAGCAGATCCATTGCCATTGAATAATACCCCAGCTCATTACTCACCATAACTCTCCAATTTTTTGTCTAGAGATTGATGACTGCTGTCAGGCTTGAGCAACACTTTTGCTCACATCTTCAGAACTGCAGTGTCAGTACCTCCTCATCTAGGTGGTTGGCAGGAAAACTGCATGGACAACCAGTTACTTAGAGCCTTGGCTTCAAGAGGGGGAGGACGAAGAGGGATGCCTGTTTATTCTATGGGCCTCCCTCTTAAAACCACATCTGCCATACTCAGTAAACCTGTTGTCTCACTTTGAGGCTAAGACCATACGTTTTATGACCTCTCATAAACTTATGTTATTAGTCAAAGGCAGGGAGTACAGCTTTAATGCAAGAGTGAGAAGGTGTGCTTGCATATACGTGCATGTGTATGCATGTCTTTTTCAAATGCAAGCCAACCTTTGTCACCTGTGAGACTTGCTTTCAAGGAGGAACTAGACCAGGGAGGAGGTGCTGCTGAATGCATTCACACTACAGCCCAAGGCTGTAAGCCATGCCTGGTGCTGCTGTCAGGAGCAGGTGTACACCTGGCAGCAAATGCTCAGCATTAGCTTTTTGAGGGGCTTTCAAACTGCCTCTTCATTTCAGTCTGTCTATTGAGAGACACTGGGTTCCTAGGGTTGATTTGTGCTGCCAGAGCTTTGCAGGGGTGGGAAAACAGATGGCTTTGTCTGGAGCGCAGGCTGGTCCAGGCTAGTCTTACCCAGGGTTTGTGCTCAGAAATGTTGTTGGCACACAGGGACATTTCTGGCAAAGGTAGCAGAGGCAATTCTTATACAATGTGATGGCCCCCTGCCTCACTAATATCTCAGACCCATGGTCACTCCAGCTAAAGTCATATACAGTCTTGGCAAATGAGTCCTTTTCCTGGAGCTAATATAAAAAAAAGAAGAAAAAAAAATAAACCTACACCAAAAACCCTTCCCAAAGCTGAATGCGTTAGATGCATTGTATCCTGACCTATCTTGGTTCTTCCAATCCCCAGAGAGCAAGTCTTCCATTGAGACAAAGAATGTCATTTTATGTGGCCTGTAGATACAATATTCAGTCACTATAGGTGTTTCTACTGCTGGATGCACTCCACGGCTGGTTGGATGATTTGCCGGTAAGGTATGAAACTACTTATGGAAACCATGTTAGGAAAGCACTAGTGTTCATCTTTCTCAACTGCAGAGTCAACGTAAAGTCTGCAGTAATTGCCAGTTAATAAAGCTCCTCATATTGCTTAAGTGGCCAGCAATCAAACTATTCATACCAATGAATACCATAATGGAGAACTTATTAAATTCAAGTTTTACTTATATTGCCATAATAAGGAAGTAGCAGTAGGTACATCAGGTCCCCTTCATCATGAATATTGGAAGGCAAAGGAAAGGTTATGTTGGTGAGTGAAGGAGGGTCTAGAGATTTACCCCAGTCATGATGGAGGGAAAAAGAGCAAGACAGAGTGCCTTGAGATCATGCATCACATCTGCTGGCACCCAGCTCAAAGGTGACCCAAATCTTGTGTGTGCTGGTACTGTGGCACCAGCATTTGGATCCCCGTGCTTCACATAGTCTTGTGTCCAAACTGGCACTCAGACCAGGCACTGCATCCTGGGACACTGATCTATAACAACCCCTCCTTCCCTTCATCCCCCATTGGCAACCATCCTCTCCTCACTCTCCTGCCTACCCACCCACCCTCCTACCTGCTCACTCCCTCCCACCACCCTCACCCCCTTCCCCATGTTCATTCTCAGTGGTCGTTGCATGTACGTGCCTTGGCCCCCTTCAGCTCATTAAGCCCCCTGCCTTGCCTCATGTTTTGACAGGTTTTGTGAGTTTTGACAATCCTGCCAGTGCCCAAGCTGCTATCCAGGCTATGAATGGCTTCCAGATTGGCATGAAGAGGCTGAAGGTGCAGCTGAAGAGGCCAAAGGATGCTAATCGTCCCTACTGAAGAGTTGTGGGAACCACTGGATACAAAGCACTAGCACAGGTAACTGCATGCAGAAGGGGGTGTCAGCTGTGGTTGTAGCCTCTTTTTGTGTTGTAGACCCTCAAAAAGATTCAGCTCTGCAACTCTCTAGTTTCTGCCTTTTTCACTTAGGCCTCTGGTGAGAGCCACACTGCACAGATACACACCCACACATAAACCAGGAACTGTTTGTGTGTGTGTCTCTTTAGAAAAAGAGGTGGAAGGATGCTTAACAAGGGATGAGCCAAGTTCCCCACCTCATGGGCATCCTGCATCTCTAGAAAGTCTTCCTGGTCACTAGAGGAGAGCCAGCAGCTGTCCTGATTCCCCTTGCTCAGCCTAAGAGAGCATTTCTGGTGGCTGAAGAAAATCTGCAATTAAGAGGTGGAACTGGGCTGCAGTTTAATCCCAGGTGACTGGACTGGGACAGTGTCTGTCTCAATAGCTCTGTGTTGCAAATGTTTCAAAGCATTCTTCATTCTTCATGCAGTACAGTCTGTATCCAGTTTCATCCCAGCATAATACTTTATGTAAATATGTCTCCCTGACAACTAAATCACCCCTAATTTCTTTCTTCCCAAGCCCAAGAAATTAATAGAAGGATCCATGCCCACTTCTTGCTCAGTTACTGTTAACTACTGTGTATAGATAAAACCCAACCAAAGCAAAGGAAGATTTGATTGACTGAGGACCTAGACAAATCTGAACGAGGGTCTCATTGTTAGACTCATGTACTTTGTGTTGTTGGAAAGGAGCCAGCCTGACGCTCCAAGGGAACTTCTAATACATGTAACAGCGTCAAAAATATCAGAAGCAGCAGCTTGTTTCCTTGGAATCCCAGCCTATCACCAATAACAAAAATGGAGATGTTTCCAAAAATGGAAATATTTCCCACCACTGGCTGGCTTTTCCATTAGATAATTCTTTGAGAAACAGAAATATAAAACCATATGTGTTTGTTACAGAGACAAGAAGTCTCCCTGCTGTTAAAACTGTTCCACACCAGAGATTCCCCAATAAACCCAGCACTCAGGGTGGCCCTAAGCTGCAACAAGCAGTTTGCACTTCCAAATTAGTGACAGAGACATGGGTTAGGTGACCTTTCTAGGCCATTATAGCTGTAATGTCTAAGATTGAGTGATTTTGGGTCAGGCCTTTTTTGACCCATCTAAGGTACAGGCAGGAAGTCCCTATCTTCAACCTTCCCAAAGAACTATGAAGTATTCTAATTTTTCATTGGTATCTCTAATATCTTTGAAAAATGTATTGTACCGGTCTTCAGAGCAGTATCCTTTCCACTGAGAATTAAGGAATGGGATCAAAATGTCTTTGAAAGAGGTGCTGCACTGAAGACATCATGAAGCAGACTAATAAACCTTTTAATAAACATATTAGGTGCATGCGCAAGATACAACCTCCATAGCTCAGACTCTCCTTTGTATGTCACTATATGAAGATAACTGTCAATGCATTTTCCCTCTTCAAATACCTCTTTTCTTTTCCTTGCTTATGACAAGGCCTCTTGGAAGCTTCAAACCAAATATGTTTCCATATCCAAATGCTTTTTGCTTCATCATACTGGCCTTTTACTGCAGGTTTTGCTGGGGGAGAGCAGAAGATGCATGCATGCAATTTTGTTAAAGCAGGGACTGTCTTTGTCAGTGAGATTTTCAATAACACCTGCAAAGGGATCGAGGAACACAAGTGTCTCCCTAGTTTGGCACCAAGCAATAGCTTTGTATCATAGCATAGTTGTGATGACTGAGGATATGCTTGTTTCTTATGGTCATGTAAGAAAGTGCAGAGCTGTAGACAGCGGTGTTGTTAAAGATTCACCGGTATGAGTCTATGGTGTTTTCATTATCATGGATCATTATGAAGTGTTCTGCCTCTACCTTTTCATGATCAGGCTGATGTTGAGGTCTCAGCTTGTTTCCTTTAAAAAAATTACTCAGTAGTAGGACTAAGATTTGTTGTTTGGGTTTTTTTCCCCCAATAAATAATATAAAAAGAAATCAGCTGGTAAAATGGCAATAAAATTCCATATCTCTCAGAGCATTTTTTTTTCTTTCTTTTGCTTCTGCAAAGCAGGAGAACGGTCTTGAATTGTCGCCTCTAAATAGGAAGCCCTTTGTCCTTCCTGGTTTTACTTTGATTTTAATGCTCTGCTGTCCAGCAAAATCAGTTCAGTTGTTACCACCAGATCACTTCCATCCTCTGCTTATAGGAGGCTTTATTAGAGGTACAGATAGTCCCTATCAAAATGGAGTAAATGCAGCTCAGAGGTCCTTGTTCTCTTGTAGACTCCCACCTTGGTGACCCCATTGAAGGAGCTGAAAACGTACCTGTTTTTTAGCAGGAAAGAGTTCTCCAGGAAAAAAGTTTTGTGTGTGTGTTTTTTGCACCTAACAAAAGAGATTGGCCAAGCGCATGTGGCCCCAGGAGGACACTGAAGGAGCATATCCCAGGGAAGGATCTGATTTAGCACAGGGACTACCATCCCAGGTTGGACTGGAGAGGACACTTGGTGACAGCAAGGGTACCCAGAAGCTCAGAAGGGCTTAGATCCAGCTCTTTCTTCAGCTCATCCAGTGCCCAGAAATATTCATACCAGCACCCTGGAAGCAGGCAGAGGATTTTCAGTCATGATGGCCACAAGTCAGCTTCCAGCCAGTGCTGTGCAATAGCAGTCAGCACAGGGCTAAGCCCTCAATAATAAGCCTTACTTAGAGATAGGGCAGTTGTTCTTGGCTCAGCACGGTGTTACTGTACCCCCATGGTTGGTTTAATGTGCAACTTCCAGTAAGCCTCCAAAATACCACTGGAATTCTCTGACTTGCCCACTCAGTAGAGAGTGTCATTACTGCAACAAGAAGTTTCCTGAAAACACTAGGACAGAAGCCAGCTAAGCCCATGCGTACGGCACAGACAGCTATTGCAAAGCTTGAGAGCAGGCAGCCGCCTTAACTGGCAGAAACACAATAACTCCTGTATGTTTTTTATCTAGTTTTACTTTGGTCGCAGCTCTTCAGGGTCCTTAATTCCAATTTGAAGCATGTGCATAACCATATTGACATCAGGGCAATTACTCATGTGCTTCAAGAGGACACTCAAGAAACTTTTTAATTGGGATTTTTCTAAGGAAGAGCTTTGTTTTATTGAACTCCTTTCCAAAAACAAGAAGCTGCCAACAAAAAACACAAGCAGCACCCAGTTTGATGTAATCCATCAGAGTGGTTTTTTTCCTAACCAAGAAAGAAATATCTTCACTCAATTTTAATTCTGGATGCACTTTTTTTTAACTTATAAATCTCCCTTTTGGGACACAGCAGTCTAGGCCACAGTGATTTGAAGTCCTTTGTTTTCCTTGTAAGTGCTCTAAAGTTGCTGTCAAACACTGAAAGGGTCTCTGTGATGTGGCAGATAAGCCCACAAGCTGCGGCAAGCAAAGACCTGAAGAATTCAGATGGCAAAATGTTTCCAAAATGGCTGCCTCTGTTTTCTTTTTTCTTTATATTTAAAGAGGTGGTTGTAGTAAAAAAAAAAAGGGCAGGGGGGGAGCAAATGTAAGGGAGGAGGATCATTTGAGGAAACTCTGCCAAAATCAATATACTCTATTACAAATCCCCCCTCAGGACTAGGAAGCAAGGATTTGGAGGCACTTCATGCGTCTTTCAGATAGTAAATGCACAAAATAATGAAAAAAACCCACCCTGAAAGCCATAGCTCCCTTGGGTGGCCATTCCTAGGAGCCCTTAAGTACCCTGTGATTCGGCAAAGTTGCAGGTACAACCTGCAGTGCCTGGGGGTGCGTGTGAGCCCTCTGCATGGCCAGTACCATGCAGGACTGCTAGGACAGGCAGAAAGACAAGCTCCTCTGATCCTCCCCGTGGGAGCAGAAGTGATCGGTGCAATTCCAGCCCTCCGCACTGGGTCTCAAAGCTAGTTCCCTGGTGCCCCATCCATGCTAAGTCAGTAGTAGCCATGATAGGACAGTATTGCCTAGAAAACCCCATAATTCACAGCTCTTCCAGTATTAAGGTCTTAACAGAGCAGCACAGAAGCATCCAGATGATAGATCAATAAAAGACATTGCACAGAAGAGCAGTGAAAATCCTGTCCATTCCCCTTCTGTGGCTTCATTGCGGTGACTGATCATTAGCAAAGTGTTATTTACCACCTCAGATGGATACTCTGCTGTTAAAGTTTTATTTAAAGCTAAGGACAGAGAGACATTTGGGTGGGACTAACCGGGAGCACTGACTGACATGAAACTGAGTGAGACAAAGTGAGTGTGAGTGAGACAAACTGAGTGAGGTGAAAGTGAAGCAGAATAGTAAAAAAAAAAAATGGTCAACAGTAAGCTAAGAGTAGTGGCAAAACGTTAAAAGAATGCATTGTCCAACCAACCTGCTTCTCCAAAATGCCAGAGGAAATAACATAGGCCAAAGCGCGAATAAAAAAAAATGTTCTGGTCCTCCTTCACAGCTTCTTGAACATGTGTTGATGTGTGGTTTACTGTAGAACGTGTGAGATGCTTGGTTTTGCAACTGGCTGGAATAGGTGATATTTTTTCCAGAGGAAATGTCTTTTTTTTTCATTGGAATGTATAGGTTACCAAACTGGAAAACTTTGCGTTTTCCTTCTTCTGTGCTCTGATAAGAGAAAAAAAACCAAAACACCTCATTTTAAAGTAAGCAGACATTATCAGTCAAAAATAAAACAAATAAGCAAAATTCCAAATGCTCATAAACAAAAAGATGTGAATGGAAAATTTCTGGCTGTCTCCTGTCATTTCAGATTGCTTCAATGCAAAGTCTAATGCAAGTGTATTTTTTACTGAATTTTGGGTTGCTTATCCCTGTCAGATAGGCTTGCATTACCTCCAGTGGGAGGCTATTCTGCAGTTGCATTGATCGCGCTGTTGTCTATCAAGCTGTTCATCTTGAGGTTCGGACTAAATATCCTTTATCAGGATCTAA